ATATATATAGTACATGTGAAATTCTATTGATATGAGGAGCTTAGTAATTATAATGAATGTGGCTGTTCAAGAAAGAAAAATTTTATTATATATTTTGTTTGCATTACACATTACTTACAATTAGCAAATATAAAATGATAAATAATGTTCTTTATTATCATATGTATATTTTTTAATTACAAAAAAATCTGCTTTTGTGGTATAATTGTTTTTGTATTATAATAATGATAAATAGTTATTAAAGAATATTTATATGTTATATATATAAATATTATAGACAAAATTGTAATATAGTAATCATTTTATATGCAAATATTTACAAATACAAATTAATTAAATCTCTAGATAATACGAATGTCACATAATTTTACGATTGGTTTTAAATATGTTTCGTGTTTGATGAAAATTGATGAAACACCAAAAATGAAACGCTAATTTAATGAATATTTATAATGAAATTTGTTCACATATAGTTACTTTTTTTTAGATTAAAAAAATTATGCAAGATTGGACAACTGATCGTAGTTACTTTCGATAATGGTACAAAATATTCGACGGAAAATACAGTAATAAAATCAATTCGATCCAAAGTGAGAAGCGATTACGCTCGTCAAAGAAACAAAAGTATATCTGATCTCTACGTATAATATTGCCAACGATCGATCAAAGAAACGCTCGTCTGACATAAATACATTTCCCAAAATGAGTTCGTCGGATGAATCAAGTTGCGAGAAGGAAAAGAAATAAAAAGGACAAAAGGTGCTTTTTTATTAGACAGGCCCGCAAGAAGTTGCAAGAAAAAATAAATAACATCCCAAGGACAGGCCAAGGTGCCAAGGTAAACGAATATAATGCGTGTCTTGACGAAAATGTTTTGCCCCTTCGCGGGCAAAACTACCATGAAAGACCATCGGCGTACCGGTATAGATATCGGTGAACGCTCTTACTTGTGTGACGTCTGCAACAAGTCATACCGCTCTAAAAAGGAATTGAAATTACACATCATGAAACATACAGGCGATTTTCCGCACAAATGCGTTTATTGCGACAAGGGATTTACACGTAAACGGGATATGCTGTATCACTTGACGAAGCATACGAATGAAAGAAATCAAATATGCGATGTATGTGGTAAGTGCTTCGCCCGAAAGGACATGTTATACAACCACAAAAAAATTGTACACTCCATGGAAAAACCGTATACATGTAAATGTGGCAAGAGTTACAAGCGTAAAAATGATCTCAAAAAGCACAAACGCTTAAAATTAGGGATGTGTGAAAAATCGCGAGAATTAAGTTCAGTCGGACCAGATTCGAATTTAATTCCAGAAAATTTAAACAAAAATAGAAACAACAGAGATTACATTTCTGCTGAACAAGTGGGCACAAGTAATGTCACGAAAAAGACTAATGACATAGCGAGAAAGTGCCAAGGTGCCAAGATGAACGAATCTAATGTGTGTCTTGAAGAGAATGTTAAACAATCTAAAGCGAAAAGGGTTGCACTCATCGATGATACAGATATGATTTGCCAGTTCTGTAATAAAACATTTACTTATCAGAAAAGCTACCTTACTCACCTTGTACGCCAACACGAAGATAAGACAGAGTACAAGTGCTATCCCTGCTTTAAGGTATTCCGTACACTTGATAGTCTGATTCGTCATCAAAAGAACATCCACTATGTTAAGAAAGATCACCCTTGCGACATATATGACAAAAACTTCAAGAGCAAAACCACCATAGAAGACCATCGGCGTATCCATACCAGTGAACTTCCTTACTTGTGTAAAATATGCGACAAGTCGTTCAGCTGCACAAAGAACTTGAAGGAACATATCAAAAGTCATACAGACGATTTCCCGCACAAGTGCGACTATTGCGGCAAGGGATTTAAAAGTAAACAGGATATGCTGCATCACTCGACGAAACACACAAGCGAGAGGAAGCAGATAGATGATACAGATAGAATTTGCAAGCTCTGTAATAAAAATTTTTTTCGCGAAAAAGTTATCGTGATCATGAACGCTATCACGAAAATGAGACAACGTACAAGTGCCGTCTCTGTTCTAAGAAATTCAGTACGCTTTGTAATCTGGTTCGTCATCGAAGGAACATCCACAACCCTAAGAAGCATCCTTGCAACATATGTGACAAAAGTTTTGCGGAAAAGTCCGCTATGGAAGATCATCGGCGTATCCATACCGGTGAACGGCCGTACATGTGTGATACTTGTAACAAAGCATTCACATCCAAAACGAGATTATATAATCACATTAAGATTCATATAGGCAATTTCCCGCATAAATGCGCTTATTGCGGCAAGAATTTTTTGTATAAATCTAGTATGATAGACCATTTGACGTTGCACACGGGCGTGAAGAATCACGCATGCGATATATGTGGCAAATATTTTGGCATGAAAAGAACCTTGATTAGACACAAAAGGGAGACGCACTCCGAGATAAAACCCGCCTATACATGTCAATGTGGCAAGAGTTACACACTTAAAGGTAATCTCAGACGTCACGAAAGTTTAGGGACATGTAAAATTTCGCGAAAGTCAAGTCGAGTCGCGTCCGATAAATCTCATATAATGGACCATTTGACGGTGTACACGGGCGTGTCGAGTAACACGTGCGATATATGCGGCAAACGTTTTGGCATGAACAAAACATTGATCAAACACAAAAAGGAAATTCACTCTGCAAAAGACCCGCCTTTATATTATGTGGTAAGAGCTACACGCTCAAAAGGTAATCTCAAACGTCACAAAAGCTTAAGGACATGTAAAATTTCGCAAAAATCAAATCGAGTCGTGCCCAAAACGAAATAAATTTTAGATAATTTGTGAATACTTTTTATGTCTAAAACTCAAAATGTAATTTTCTACAATTAACTTTAAGTAGACTTATAAGCAAACTGCATGCATGTAATATGAATATATTTCAGAAAATTAAAAAAATAAGATATGTAGTGTATGATGTGACACTGAAAAATCCTCATAACACGGATGTAAAATATAATTTTGTTATTGAATACAAGTACAGTACAATTGTTTATACATATTATATTATTAATAATAATTACAAATTATTAATAATAATTGCAAACTATTAATTATAATTATAAATTATTAATTATAATTATAATGTATTAATTATAATTATAAATAACATATTATTGATTGCAGGATTGTGTGTTGTGCATAGGTGTAGACATACACATACAAATGTAATTAATATTTATAATTTAATTTATATTATAATTTTATAATACTATTAATATAATTAATATTTATAATTTAATTTCAATTCAATTCAATTCTTTATTTGTCCCCTTAGGGATTAAAGGCGCTTTTAAGGAGCGTACCCAAATCTTATAAACTCTTACAATATTAACTTACAACTATTCTTAACTCTACTCTTACATCTAATTTACAATTAACTTAATTCTAACTTAATCTACCTTATCTATCTAATTGAGAGAGAGAAAGAGTCGTCCCTATCTATTTTCCTTGCTTTGCCTCGGCTTCCAGTTCTCCATTCATTCTCCAAGATCTCATTCATACCTCCACTCATTCTCCTTTTTATACCCCTTTCCTTTTCTTTTTCTGCTCTCCCCTTTTCCCTCTTTTTCTCCAATTTCCTCATCCATCCTTCCCCTTCTCCCCCTTTTTGCATTATTTCCTTCATTCTTTCCTATCAATTTTCCTTACCCTCTTCTCCACCACATTCTCCTGTTACATGTTCCCATGTTTTATCTTCCATCCCACATAGCCTACATCTTCTTTTCTCCTCTTTTTTCCAGCATCTCGCCCCTCTCATTTTATTGTTTATTCTAAACCTCACTATCCTTCTCCATCTACTCTTCCCCCATCCTTTTCTCAGATATTCCGGTAATCCCTCCTCCTTCCATTCTCCATACCATCTATTATATCTTGATTCCCTTATCCTCTCTCATCTTTTCTCCTTCTGCATTTCTCTATCTTTCTGCTCCCATCCCTTGTATACTTCCTCTCCCCTCCCTCTCTTCTCCTCCATCTCCTTCCCTTTTTTTCCTCTTTCTTCAAAAAATTTTGCCCTCTCTTCTTCCCAAACTGATCTCTCCTTTCCTTCTCTTATCCTCTTTTTATATCCTCATAGCATTTTCTTGCTAAACTTTCTCCTCTTTCTTTCTCCAACTTCTTCTCGTACCCTACTACTCTTCTTTCTGCCCTTGTCCTAAATTTATCCTTCCCTATCTCCTCTTTTACCATTGTACGGGATGTACGTAAGTTGAATTATCGGGCGTGTGCCCGTCGTATGTTGTCGTGGAATGAGTGCTTCACGAATATACGACCGAGAATGTTTCTCTCTCACTTGCTTATATTTATTGAAAAAACTCAGAAGGTAGTGACCGCACTCGAGATACAAGGTATAAATGCTTAATTGAAATACAGCGTATAATGGTATACAATAGCCGGCTATGTCGGCCGCACGTGTGTCTCTCGTTGTCTCTGAGACGATTCTGATTCGTATTAGCGGGGACCGCGCACGATGGGTCGCGATCGGCAACGGAAGCCCCCGAAGGCAACGGCGAAGGACCCGACATATATATATGCGGGTACCCGAATTCGAGCGGGTAGATTGACCGGGCGATACGCGTAAATAGTTTATTGAATACCAAACAAACGCCGCCCGCCTTGAAAGAATGCGCTTTCAAAATGAATAGAAGAAAGAATGAGCCGCAAGGCAAACATATAAGACTTATCAGTACAATAAAATAAAGATAATAACGCAACAGAATATAAACCATGACTGATAGCACTTCGTGAGTTTAGTACTCTTATAAATAGTGATTACAGTATCCTATAAACTATAATAATATATATTTGTTTGCAAATTAAACTAAATTACTAGAGAAAGGAAGACATGAATATAAATTTTCCTATGATATATCTTAATAGCTAAATATTCGCGTCGTGACTATTACGTGAGATTTCATCTTAGTTGCGTTTATTAGTTATCCGTCGTTTGGATTTCTGAGGGTAATATCGCGAGCTTCGACAATGGTCTAACATAAGTACCCTTGGTGGTTTTTATAGTTGCAGTTCGTTCTACATTGTCGGATCCGGGATGAATCTCTAAGACGCGACCTATAGCCCATTGTAGAGGGGGTAGATTTTGTTGTTTTACAAGTACGAGCTGATTGACGCGTAGTTGAATGCCCGAATTTTGTTTCCATTTCGACCTTTCCTGCAACGAGCCTAAGTACTCGCTACTCCATCTGCGCCAAAAGTGCTGTCGAAGTTGCTCCACGCGTTGCCATCGTAGGAGCCTATTCTCATTGATCTCGCAGAAATCTCTGCAAGGAAAACTATTTAGTGCTGTACCAACCAGAAAGTGACCCGGACCATGATAACACAAGTCGTTGGGATCCACGCTTAGTGGCGTGATAGGGCGCGAATTTAATATAGCTTCTATCTCAGATAATACAGTCTGCAGTTCTTCAAAATTTAAATGGGCTTGGCCCACAATTCTAGTCAAGTGATGTTTGGCGGATTTTACCGCCGCTTCCCATAAACCGCCAAAATGGGGAGCGTTGGGCGGAATGAATCCCCAGCAAATGCCCTCGTTGGCACAGAATTGATTGAGATCGGACTGCGTTTCTTGTTTGTTATAAAATTCGTATAGTTCCTTGATTTGCTTTTTTGCCCCGACAAAGGTGGTCCCATTATCCGAGTACATGTGGGTCGGTTTCCCTCTTCGCGCAATGAAACGTTTGAATGCACCAAGAAAACAGTCTGTCGTCAAATTGCTTACGACTTCGATGTGCGCGGCTTTAGTGGCAAAGCATACGAAAATGGCTATGTAGGCCTTATGATTGCGAGAGTTGCGCCTGTTTCCTTCGCGTATTGTGACTGGACCGGCATAGTCTATCCCACAATGCGCGAACGGTCTAGATGGGGTGACTCGACCGGCGGGTAATGATCCCATTAAAGCTTCCGAGAATCGCGGTTTTGCTTTAAAACAAGTTACGCATTCTTGTATGATCTTTCGCGCTGCGGATCTTAGCGAAAGTGGCCAGAAACGTTGCCGGACGGCGGCCATAGTACCTTGTGTTCCGGCGTGCATATTCCGAATATGCTCTTGTCTAATTATTTTTTGTGTTAAATCGTGATTGCGCGGCAGCAAAATGGGATGGCATGCGTCAAAATCTAGGTTTGAGTTTTTAAGCCTACCGCCCACCCGGATTAGGCCATCTTTATCCATGAAAGGAGTTAACGGCAATAGACGGCTGCCTGTATTAATGGTCGTTCCTAATTTTAATGCTTCGTATTCTTTAGAGAAGACTTGTTTTTGTACCTCCCTGCACACGATTTCCGTTACAAGTAAAAGTTCAGACGAAGATATTGTTCTATTTGGCGCGAGATTCCGTTTCGTAGAAAATCTCATGCAATACGCAATGATCCGAAGGATTTTGTTTAGACTTGAATGCTTGGTTAATAGCTGGGTGACCATGCATTGGTCATGCTTGACGACAATCGCGGCTATTCTTCTTTGTTCGGGCATATCCTCCCTCGGATATGTAAAACTTCCCGATGGCCACTGATTTTCATGCAACTGTAGAAAGCTGGGCCCGTGCCACCACATGGATGATGCGATTAAATCATACGGATATATGCCCCTGGATAGTATGTCTGCAGGATTGTCGGAAGAGGAGACGTGACGCCACTGACTGATCTGAGTCAACCTTTGAATTTCTCCGACTCTATTTGCCACGAATACTGACCAGTTGCGCGAGGATGAAGCTATCCAATTCAATGCTATGGTGGAGTCCGACCAAAGAAATGCTTGCATGGGCGAGCCCAATGAGTCTTTCACCTTAGTTATGAGTTGAGCTAACAGAACCGCTGCCGATAGTTCAAGCCTTGGCAGTGACACGGCCTTGAGTGGTGCCACACGGGATTTTGAACACAGCAACTGTGAACGATATTCACTAGATTCGATGGTTGTGCGTACATATATACATGCGCCATATGCATTTTGACTTGCATCACAAAACCCGTGTAATTGCACGAGCTGTGAGTCTGGGTTGTATTTGACACCCCTAGGGATTTGTAGCTGATTTACAGCATGTAATTGAGACTTGAATTTTAGCCAGCTTGTATGTAATTCCTGCGGCACAGATTCATCCCAATGGATGCCGGCCTTCCACAGGTCTTGAAGAATGAGTTTGGCAATTACAATGACGGGTCCGAGGAGACCCAGAGGATCAAACAACCTGGAAACTTCAGAAAGAATAACGCGCTTAGATACTGCGCTGTTAGTGGAGTCTGAATTGTATGCAAAGTGAAAAACATCCTTGACTTGATTCCATTGAATCCCTAGTATGCTAGAATCTGTCTCGTTATGAATGGTAATTACTTCCTCATCACGATCCTTTATATTTTTTAGGAGTTCTGGGCAATTCGACGCCCACTTACTGAGTTCGAAAGATCCTATTCTCAGCAATTCTATTAGTTCATCTCGGAGTACCTTAGCCTCGTGCAGAGTATCTGCTCCCGACAAAAAGTCATCTACGTAAAAACTGCGTTTCACCTCTCTAGAGCCTACCGGGTACTTAGCTGCGTATTGATCGGCATGATAAGTAAGGCACCTGGTGGCCAAGTATGAAGCTGATGATGTTCCATACGTAACTATCAATAGTTCGTATGTGTCGACGTTGTTAGCAGGGTCGTCCCGCCATAGTATCCTTTGTAGACGTGTTTGAGAAGGATCCACCAATACTTGTCTATACATTTTTATTACGTCGGCGCTAAAAACATAAATGAAGAAACGAAATCGGATGAGTATGGATGTTAGCTCTTGCTGCACTACTGGCCCTATCATAAGTGCATCATTTAAAGATAAGCCCTCGGTAGATTTGCATGAAGCGTCAAATACTACGCGGATCTTTGACGTTTGATTGTTAGATTTGAATACGCAATGATGCGGTAAATAAAAACATGGGGAACTCTCATCGAGCTGCAATTCTATTTTTTGCATGTGCCCTAACGATATGTACTCATTGATAAATTGTTTGTATTGCTCTTCTAGATCGGGCTGTCGTTTAAAACGTTTTTCGATGCCCTTCAAACGAGACATGGCAATGCTTCGAGAGTCTCCTAACTTGTCGATTAATTGATCTCTAATGGGAAGTTTGACCACGTATCTGCCTTGTGGATTTTGATGAATATTGCTGTTAAAATGCTGCTCACAATAACTTTCCTCAGGAGTCAAATTATCGGAGTCATTTGTCGCGTCGTCTAATTGCCAGAACCAACTTAATTGATCATGTAACTGCTCGTTAGTTATAGATGCGTGTAGAGAATGTACCTTTGCGTGAATTGATTTTGAATCAAACATTCGTCCTGCTAGGATCCATCCAAACCTCGTTTTTTGTAATTTAGGATGCCTGTCCGATGATTGTATCTGTCCTACAGAGAGAAGATCCCAAAATATTTCGGCTCCTATTAGAATGTCGATATCGGAGGATACGTGAAATTGTGTATCAGCTAGCTTTATATTTCGTGGCAGTTCGAAATCCTTTCGCCTTAACGGTATGCCAGGGAGTTTTTCTGTAACTTGATCTGAAACAATACAATCGATTGTAGCACTGTATGAATCTATTCGCGATTGCAATTCGATTTTTACTGCTTGCGTGGCCGTCGTAACCGTTCCGTTCACGCCGGATATGGCTACGCTTAGTGATTTGGGAGTGAGGCCAAGCCTCGTCATGAATTTCCTTGATATGAAATTCGCCTGAGAACCACAATCCAACAGAATGCGACAAGGTCAAAGCACGCCCTGATGATCGCGCGCGTGCACCATGGCTGTTGACAATATGACGTTAACACTTCCCCCTGCGACGTGTGTCGCTACTACGGCAGAGGATTCTGCGGAGTTGGAGTTGTCGCTGCCCTTTCCTGAAGAGCTAGAGGAATTAGGCGCTTGCTGCGAGACGGTTGTCATATGAAGAAGCGTGTTATGCTTGGCTTGGCAGACCTTGCAACCTCCTGAAGTGCATTTGCTAGCGATGTGCGTGTTGGAACGCAGACAATTAAGGCAAATTTTGCGAGAACGAATTTCCGCGATCCTTTGAGGAACCTGAAGTGCCAAAAAATTCTTGCAGTAATAAATGGAATGCTCCCCTCGACAGTAGTTGCATTTTAACTTGACGGTAGCTGCGCATGCTGTTTGACGCTTGGCGCGTGCCTTGGCAGTGCCGTCCTTGACGTTCGCGACGTTGCTAGATTTGTTTGTGACTTCGAGCATCTGACACTGTCGTGTGATAAAATCGAAGAATTGTTTGGACGATGGTAATTCGTTACCCGTAAGCGAAGATTGCCACTCGCGTAGTGTGAGGGGATCGAATTTCGAGCATAGCACGTGTATTAAAATATCGTCCCAATACGCGGTGGGTCGCTTAAGAGCTTGCAACGCGTGTATGTGCTTTGTCGCGCCATCCGCGATTTGCCTTAACTCGGTATAATTTTCCCTTGTCATGGAAAGTAATTCTATAATGGTCTTGATATGATTTTGCACGATTACCCGTTTGTTATCGTACCGCTCTTTAAGAAGATTTCACGCTGCATTGTAATTCGCGTCCGAAATCTCTAGAGAATTAATTACGCTGCTCGCATCGTCTGTGAGAGAGGCCTTTAAATATTGAAACTTTTGTATGCAACTGAGAGACGCGTTCGTATGTATGACCGACGTGAATGTATCGAAGAACGGGAACCACTCGTCATATTTCCCCGAAAATGTCGGTAAATTTAATTTAGGTAAGCGCACGCGGGAAGTTGCGTCCGAGATTTCCGAAAGCGTTGCCGGCGAAACAGCGGCAGTGCGCGAGTGCGTGGGAGGGCTTAATAACTCCCTGATTTTAGCGGATACGGCATAAAATGCGTCCTCGAACGTAGCCCGATCGTTACCTTCGGCTTCTTCTAAAATTTCTATTTGCGTCTGTACAGTGTGATATTCGGCCCAATAATGTTCTAGTTTTAATTTGCGCTCTTCAAGTTGAGCCGTTGTCGAGGTATTGATAGCAGTAATTGTCTCGACGTAATGTTTTATTCGCGTGCAGGATCCCTTGATCATAGCGCGTTGTCTTTTAAGTACCGCGAGATTTTCTGTATTAGACATTTTAAACTAATTGAATTGAGACACACGTTTTATTCGAATCTGGTTGGTACTCGTCACTAGATAGCTACCCTTACCTTACATTTATTTCTTATTAAAGAAAGAAAACGCGTGAACGCTCGGTAATCCTTTGTCGGTCGTCCTGCGGGGAGGAAGGGGGTGTCGTCGTCTCAATGCGCTGTTTGGCCCTCGATGCGTCGTTCGTCTTGTCGAATATGGCCGACAAGGATTGCCGTGACTGCCGGTTCGATTGCCCGTCCGTTGGAATTATGCCGTTGTCGCCAATGCGGGGCAATCGTTTGTACTCGCCGACGAGTAAAATAGCCGCTCTTGACCTCTCCTTTGTTAGGACGTCTGCCGATGTATGGGAAATTCCGTAGGCCGATACCGTACGTGATAACTCGATACGTTGGCCTTTTTTAATTTGGCTTGCGCCCTTCGTGTTATATCCTCTAGAAGTTTGTTGGACACTACCTTGACCGAGCTTGCGGAATTCCTTGGATGAATCCGGCTCGAAGGACCAAATGTACGGGATGTACGTAAGTTGAATTATCGGGCGTGTGCCCGTCGTATGTTGTCGTGGAATGAGTGCTTCACGAATATACGACCGAGAATGTTTCTCTCTCACTTGCTTATATTTATTGAAAAAACTCAGAAGGTAGTGACCGCACTCGAGATACAAGGTATAAATGCTTAATTGAAATACAGCGTATAATGGTATACAATAGCCGGCTATGTCGGCCGCACGTGTGTCTCTCGTTGTCTCTGAGACGATTCTGATTCGTATTAGCGGGGACCGCGCACGATGGGTCGCGATCGGCAACGGAAGCCCCCGAAGGCAACGGCGAAGGACCCGACATATATATATGCGGGTACCCGAATTCGAGCGGGTAGATTGACCGGGCGATACGCGTAAATAGTTTATTGAATACCAAACAACCATGTATCTCGGCGTACATCAGTCCACTCCTAACGTCCACCTAATCCATTTTTCCTGCATTGCCTCTACTTCTCTCCTTTCCTTCCACCCCCATATTTCCGTCCCATATTCCAACACCGTTCGCACTAACCTTTCCATTAGTCATATCTTTTTTATCCAATGCAAATCCTCCTCCTGCAAATCTTCTTTTCCCCATTTCTCACACCTGTCTTATCACCGCTCCTGTCTTCCTTACTCTGTCCTTTACCTGTGCCTCCTGTCTCCCATTCCTTTGCAATTTGTATCCTAGAGAAATGAACTCCTTCACTTCCTCTAGTCTTTTCTTTTCATCTTCACTCAGCTTTTTTCATTCTTCCTCTTCCCTTTTTAAACCTCATTATCTTCGTCTTATCCACATTCACTTCTAATTTTTTTCTATACAATTTTTCATTTTCCCTGATATGTGTACCATCCTTTCTTCATTCTCTGCCCACAGTACCATGTCATCCGCATATGCTAAACAGTGTACTTTTTCCCCTCCCAGCTTCATTCCTCCTCATTCTCCTTTCCTCAGCACCTCCTCTATATCCGCTATTAACAGGTTAAACAAATGTGGGCTCATTGGGCAACCCTGCCTCACTTTCTTCGCCGTTCAGAAGCTTTTCTCTTCCTCCTTCCCCACTCTTACTTTGCTTCTCGTTTTTCTATATACCTCCTCTATCCTACTCCTTAGTTCTTCCCTTACCCCCTTATTCCTCATTGCTTCTGTTAACACCTCCTTGTCCACCGAATTAAACGCCATCTCTAAATCTATGAATGCCGCCACTACCTTACCTCCTTTCTTATTCACTTTTCTATTCACCAAATAGTATAGTACATAAATGCTGTCCATCACCCCCATTCCCTTCCTGAAACCTGTTTGACTCTCCGGTATCACATTCTCCTCCTCTATTTCCTTCTTTAGCCTTTCTGTTAGTATTTTCACGTATATCTTATATAACGTTGACATCAACATTACCCCTCTAATTTTCCACCCTATCTCCCGTTCCCTTTTTTACCAGTGGTACAATTATCCTATCTTTCCACCTCTCCGGCCATCCTTCCCCTCTCCAGATTCTGTTGCACATTTCCCATATCCACTCCTCTATCCTTTCCCCTTCATATTTCCATCCCTCACTCGGTCCATCCATCCTCTCCCGCTACCTTTCCTTTCTTTATTTTTTCCATATCCTCTGTACTCCCCCCCTGTTTATCTCTTGTTCCTCATCCCTTTCCCTTTTTTTTCCTCTTCTTACAACTTTATTCTCTACCTCCCCCCTCCAATAAGTCCATGAAGTACTCCTTTCATTCCTCCGCTCTTATCTCTTCATTCATCTCTTTCCTCTTTTTTCTTTCCCTGTTTATGATTTTCCATTCCTCTCCTTCCCTTCTTGCCTCTATCGTCTCTTTGTACCATCTTATCCTCTCCTCTTCCCTTTTTCCTTTACACATTAGCTTGTATTCCGCTTTTGCTTTTTTCCTTTTCCTCCTCCTCGCCTTTTCCTCCATTCTCTTAACTTTTTCCTCACCTCTTTCCTCTTTCCTTCACATTTTTTGTCCCACCACTTTTTCTTTTTTCCTTCTTCACTCTCTTTTTCTCCTTCTCTCAATTTCTTTTCTATCCTTCCTATTTTTTCTCTAACTCCTCTTCTATTCCCTCTTTCCATTCTCCTTCCTATTTTATTCCCTCCCTTATTCTTTCTCCTCCCCTCTTCGTCTATCTCCCCCCTTTTCTTTTTCTTTCTCTTTCCCTCTTTTTCTTTTTTTCATTATCTTCTCTTCTTTCTAATGTCACGATCATTGGGATGGTCCAATTCTACATTATCTCTCACCTTCATCCCCTTATCTTTTCTTGTACTCTTTCCTCTCCTACCACGTAGTCAATCACCGATTCCCCTCTTCCTCTTGTGTATGTATACTCCCCTTTCTTATTCCCTCTTATCCTTCCGTTGAAAATACCCCACCCCACTTCTTCCAGTTACTTTATCAGTTTTTTCCCTCCTCATTAACTTTCTTTTTCTTTGATGATCTTTCCTCTGCCTCTTCTCCTCCTATCACTCCTCCTCTCCTCCCTGTTCTTGCGTTAAAATTTCCTTCTAATATTGTCCATTTGTTTCCTTCTTTCTCTTTCATCTACTCCTTTATTTCCTTGATTTTCTTCTTCATGTCCCCGTTAATGTATACATCTATTACCCTTCAACTCTCTCTTTCCACTTCTATATCCGCCATCATTATTCCATCCCCCTTTTCTTCCATTTCTATTACCTTAATCTTTCCCCTCTTCTTCTTTACTCCCATAATCATTTCCCCCATCAGTCTTCCTTTCTTCTTTTTATTCTTTGCTACTTGCTTCTCCCATCTATATCCTTTCGATAACTTCTTTTTAATCGCTTCTTAATCTCTTTCCTCTATCCACGTTTTCATCATTACTATCACCTCTCAATCTCCTATTTTCTTCCAAAATTTTTCTTCTTTACTTTTTAGCCCTATCACATTCCAGAATCCTATTTTCCACTCTTTTCTTATTTTTTTCTCTTTTTTCCCTTTTTTCTTCTTCCTTTTCTCTTTTCTTCTCTCCCCTCCTTTTCTAACTTTGTTTCTCTTTCATTCCTATCTCCACTCCCCCTTTTTCCACTTCCATTTTTTCTATTTTTTCTCTAGTTTCTCCTTTCCAGTTTCTAAGCACACACCTTCTTCCATCTCCACCAACAATCGTTGATTTTAATCGTCCCATAGCTTGTCCATACCTTGTTCCCTTTCTTCCTTTTTCCCTCCGCAATCTCCATTAATTTCCATTTCATTTTTCTTTCCTCCCATGTTAAGTCGTCTTCTAAGATATTTTATAGTTTATATAAAATTGAGTATTTATATTAAGTCTCATAACTTGGAAAGTACTTAAGAAAGAAATATTTTATTATAGTGTTTTGGAAAGCTCTCGAGGTAAGCTACAAGAATAAATAATAAAAAGGATGTTTTATTTGAAAAATTCAAGGTGATCTTGATTTTGTTATGAAAACAAAACTATTTTCAAAATTTTTTATTGCATGTGGTAGCTTGCATGGAACAGATAAATTTTCATTGTAAATTTTTTTCCTAAATTGTCGGAAAGTGTCTCAAAAATCGTGTGGACCGTTACGCTGAACACCCTGTATATCTCTAATTATATTTAAAAAATAATTGTAATTATTTTGAGGTATATCTAGCAGTGTTGTACGTATTTGGTACAAATAAATTTCTATTGATATAAAAATTCAGTAATTATAATATACATTTGATGGTACAAGAAAGAAAAATAATTTTATTATATATTTTGTTTGCTTGGATTACTCATTATTTATTTATATTTATTTAGCAAATGTGTAAAGTCTTAAATAAATAAATAGTTTTTTAATTATTGGAAAATCAG